TTTACACAAAGAGCGCCCTTCTGGCAGACAAAGCATCCCGCGGCGTTGTCACCGGCGCTGCCCCCGGGCCCTGGCTTTGCTCCTCGGCCACCGCGTTTCCCCCCCGGGAAGGTGGCGGCGGGGCTCGGACTCCGGCCCCGGCCGTCGCTCGGCCAGGCTTTGGGGGCGTTTGGTCTCGGCAGCCGTCTCCTGCTGGAGGGGGAAACACGAGGGAGCGTGAGCTGGCAGGTGCCTGGGAGGCCGGGGTCTCGTCTCTCCTCCCAAAAAAGAGCGGTCCCCGGCACCGGTCAGCCACCGCTCACAGCTGGAGGACAAAGTACGGCCGGGGCGATCGGCAGGAGGAATGAGCGGGGCGAGGGTTTGTCTTGCGTTGGGTTTCGTTGCAACGCCAAGCCGGTGCTTTTTTCCTGCAGGCAAACGGGTATATGACTCAAATACGTCTTTGCTCTCCTACCTGCATCTCCTCTAGTTCTGTTAATGAAAGGATACAGCGTCATACAGACTCGCTAGGCATTTATCATATAACCCCTGCTGAAGACTTAGTAAGATCCTCTCTACCGCAAAATACCATTTGCATTGTGGGGGCAGACTGGCGCGGAAAAGGAGATTTTGGGCCATCTGTGTTCCGCTGAAGTCCCGCGGTGCTGGCCTTGCGCTGGGAACAGCAGAGGTGGACCAAAGAAGACCAAATGGTCCCCACAGCCTTGCGCCCCCAGGCTTTCCCAGACACGAGACCCTACCGTCCTACACCACAAACTAGGATGGCAGCCACTGGGCGACACACCTTTGCAGCCCATCACCTCTGGGTAGGCTGCCAGGGGATCAAATTCTGTCACAGCAGCCTCCCGGGAGGTGTCTAGGAAAGGCGGATTTCTTTGGCTGGTCCATGCAAAGGCACAGAGCTGCACCCCTTCTGCACAGCCCTTGCTGGCAGTACAGTATGCCAAATACAGCATGCCACAGTCACACAAGCAATTTTCCCTGACTCCAGTGCACTCTGTGATTTTCCAGTATCCAAGCTGACCTGCTAAGTGACTAAGTCTCTTCGCTGAAAAATAGATACAGCTATAGGATATACGCAGCTAACTGATGACATATCTCCACTAAACAGCCTGGTTTAAACTAATAACATGATGTAGTGCATGCTGCCACCTACGTCTTCTCCCTGATTCAGGTTTCTCCTGTACTGCAGCTTCGGATTCGTAGGCATCCTTTGCTGAAGGCAGCTAGCATTCGGTGAGACTCCGCGAGGGACCACAAACACAGGTGGCTCTGGCCGCGTTAAGGAACAAAGCAAAACATTTCTCACCAGCTCAGCCACTTGTTCAGTTGCAGTGAGGATGCCTCGATGCAGATTAGGAACCAGCAGTCACATCGGTGAAATGTAAGTGGTGGCTGGAGCCTCATCTGTGCTAAGGATCCTGCCAGCACAGCTGTACCACTGACAGCAGTGGAATATTTTGCTCAAGTTCTCTAGAGGAATCAAAGCCTGTATTTTCTGTCTCTGGCTCTCCCTTGTTCTGTTGCTCCTCACTCATTAAAAGAAAAGTCAGCCACACAAAGCACATGGTTGCTCTCTGTGTTTAAAAAAAAAATATGTTTGGGGTAAAAAAACAACAGCCAAAGCTGTTTTGAAGTCAGAGGCATGTAAACAGTACCTGGAACTAAGTGGAATAATAATAATAATAATTAGTCCTTTTGTGTCATAAATATGTGCATCGCTGTCTGCTGTTTCATTATGAGACAGCACAACTTCTGAGAATGTGCCTGATTAATATTTGGGGGAACTCTGCCTTCAGCAGCAGCAGCATACGGCAGCTCTAGTGCCTCCAGCTCCCCCGGCTCTCTTATGTAACCGAAATCACAAGTTGGAGCCCAAATTACAAAGCGTAAGCATGTGTATAATATTAAGCATATAAATGGTGCCTGAAATTACTGTCCTTTTTCCTGTAGATCTGGCTTTAATCTATTAGTATTTTTATTTCTGCAGTTCTATTGATTTCAATGTGCACTGGTGCCATTCATAGCGTAATCAAGCCTAACCCCTTTAAAACCCCACCATGAAGGCATTAACCCAAACTTAACTAAGACAGGCCAAAATCACTCCAGCTACACGTAGATGTAGTTCAAATGACTTGTGTATCAGATCTCGAGCGTATCCAGCATTAAGACGCCCCAGAAAGCAGAATATCGTACCCCTGTGGCTGCTTTGCAGACCAGGCAGAGCGGCAGGTTTTTGCACCCCAGCCCAAGACACGGGTTAGCAATCACCTTCCTTTGCATTTTCCCTTTTAGAGACTGTTCTCGCCATTAACATGCTGAGCTGCTTCCTGGAGTTTCAAGGTGTTGGGTGCTGATACAGTGAGCGCCTCTTGTATCTGTTTAATCCAATAACATAACTCTTTTTTAATCTCCACGTCTGGGTCACAGGGTTTTAAAAAGACACTGGGCCAAATCCCCAGCTTGGCTACGACGCGTGGAAATCTACCAAGAAGGCACGAATGTCAGAAGAGATTCGCTGTATTTGCACCCTGTAAAAGAGGTCTCGAGGGGCAGGGATGCGAGAGCCTAATTTCGCAGATGGATGCATATTAACACAAGTGTATGGCAGAGTTAGATCAGATTTCTATCAGGGGAGGTGGAGGGAGGGAGGGATATCACACCGGGATCTCAAATATGCTCATCAGCAAATTCGCATTCATTTGAAAATAAAAATTGATTTAATATTTCTTCCTTTTTCAGGAGGAAAACTTGTTTCTTTTCAATGTGTGGCTGCTAAAGGGAACATGATGTTTCATGGACTCAGGACCAAGGCAGGGCAAGAACAAGGAGGAGGTTTTGCAGGAACTGGGAAGATTTTACTTATCAACATTAAAAAAAAAAAAAGGCAAAACTTATCCAGGCACAATGTCCAGCGGAAATCTAGGCGACAAGTTGACAGCACTGTCTGTGAAGATGGGTATAAGCAAGAATGGCAAAAAGATGGTCTGAATAAGTGCATCGCATTAATGATTCTTCGAACACAAATCTCCTATACAAAGCTTTATGGGGGCAACCTTCGGGGTTCCCCTGTATAGCAAAGGATCCTGACCTTGAAAAAGGGAGGCAGATTTTGTAAGGGATTTGAACATCATGCAGTGACTCTGGATTGCAGATTTTAAGCATTACTAAATTGGGGAATAAAATTGTTGCTATTGCTATTACATACCAGGATATCTCACTAATCCACACAATCCACTAAGTTGCTGTAGTTTTAGTCCGTGTTTATTTTAGATGAAATTATGGCCTGGACAGTTAATTTTTCTTAGTTTATCCATTTAAATCATGTAATCAAACAGAAAACAAAATGTGACTTGTGCTTTTTGGTACACTCCCCATCACGTGAACCTGCCAGTGATGGAGCCCCACACCCAGTTTGTGAGTTAAACACCGTGGCAACTAAAAACCCCAGGTCTTCTTGAAAAGTAGCTCCATTGCATTAAATTCTCTGATTTTAATGCTATCGGTGGCCTATTTTGCTTTTATTTCAGGCTGCCTAGCCATTATGGGATTGCCTCCACTGGTCCTTTCCTTACATCAAGCTAATTACATACTAACTTGAGGCACTTAGCAAGCCTGAAAGGATGGAGCAGGTCCTTTCCGAACACCAGTTGAGTTTAGAAATGCCTGTTCCTTTACAGGGGCTGATTCCTAAAATGAGGGGCAAACCCAGAGGAACCAAAGTAGTCACGCTGGCTTTTGGAAAAAATGAAGTGTCTCAAGTTAATTGACAGTCAGCTACCTGGACATAAAAAACTCTCATATATCCAAAGGTTTTCACCGGGATTTTTGAGAGCTCCTGAGCAATTTCAAGTCCTTGAAAGGAATGCACTATAGAATGAAAAATATAGGTATTATTAAAGAATGTCTCCAAACTGAAAGCCAGCCAGTTTCATAAAAATGAGCTAAAAACCAATAACACATACTCTGTCTCCTGCTGGATGCTGTATGAACCGTATGTTTTGCATTTTTGAAGTCACTTCTAAAACAATGTTTTTTTTTTCACTGTTGCTATTGGGAAGAACAGTAAAAGAACTATGCATAAATGAGGTTAAAGTAATCTGATTAAAAAAATAAACAACGTGCTTTCATCTTCAATTCATATCCAGTCATTTGGGATCAAACTTTAAAAAAAATAGATAAAAATTCAGAAAGGATTTTGAAGGACGACTGTTTCCCTTTAAGATTAATGATAAACATACTTGTGTGTTCAAGGGAGAATAGATCCAGTGTTATGTAACAGGATAAAGAAACAAAATCCTTTTTCCTTAAATTAAAATAACCAGTATATGTGTGGATTTTAGTCAATCACCGAAAATTCAGGAAAATTCTTTCACAATTGCATTCCACATACTAAAATCGGCGTCTTGTAACTTTTAAACAGAATCACAACAATTAAAGACAAAAAAGATTTTTTTTTTTCTGTTTGACCATGCTTTGCCAATAGAGGATTGTTACCCGAGGGAAATTCTGCAGCACTTGCCCTGTGCAAAAATCCAAATTTGTGCTCATCTTTTTGGTTTATGTGGCATTAGTAAATCCAGTTATTGCACTTCCCAGGTTTTTTTCTTTTATAATCTGCTTACCTAGTACTAGATGCATGGTAACTTATCTCTTTTAATCATTTTTTTGCCTGAACTATTACATAACAGTTCTTATCAAATCTTGCAATGCCTGCCTAAATTTGCAGGTCAACAGGTAATGGTTTTTTTTAATGTTGGCATTGTTCTTTGCTGGCTCGATCATATAAAATTTGCAAAAAAACACAAAAGAAAATAATTTTCTACCATATAGCCTGCATTTTCCACTTCTGTATTTTACAAAAGCACTCATGCCAGAACTTCTGCATCAGAATTTGATACATAAAGTTCTTCTTTATCACATGAATTCAATTTTCCAAAAGAAGGCAAATGATACTATTAATAACCAAGATACAAGCCCTGGAAAGGCTAAGTCTCCAATGTACTTGCTGCAAAAAAATGTCATCTTGTTGGATCTAATTCTGCAGTCATTATTTGACACAACGCAGAACAGTTCAAGATTTGCATAGAAAGGCACTGCTGAGTTAAGGTGATACTCACTCTTGCATGAAAGAAGCATCTATGTGCTTTGCTGAGCTACTCACAGCTTTGTTCTGCAGACCAGAGTAAATCCTGCTTATGTCCTTGCACACATCCACGCTTAATGTTTTCAGTGCTGAAAGTAAAGCTTCAAGTCTGGGCAGCTTAAGTGACATTCCCCCAGCGGAGCAAGTCCTCTGTTAGCACTACTCCGTAGCACAAGCCGTGCTTGGAGACGATGCACATTTTGAACACGCTTCTTTCCCTGCTAATAACATACCCATTATGCTGCAGCTAAATATTCTGCTGCTGCATGGCTTGCAGAGAGATTTCCTTGGCCTCACGAGCAGAACGGCTCCTGCAGAGCCGAGATGGTTCCACAGGTGCTGCAAAGGCGATATGAAAGGTGGGAAGCCGTAGGAGCACGTAGGCTCCGAGGTGGGGAAGAAGTTGTGGCAGACCCACTGAAAGCGATAAAAGGTCAGCGGGGTCTGAGGCTGCCATGCAGAGCCACTTCTCTTTCCATTTGGAGGTGGTCACTGAGCCGGGCAGGCTTGGCCTGACCACATCCCAGGTGACAGCAGGCATCGCAGTGGAAAATAGTCCAGAAATTTATGGTGGTGAGCTCACTGATGCAGTCAAGCCCTCTCAACTTACGTGACTGATCCAGACAAGCCAGTGGATTAAACTTACCGAAGAGGAAGAAGAGTGATCACTTGAGTGAATTCATACGTGCTCATATTTCTTTTTGTTTGCTTATGGGTCCCTCTGATCCCTTCCGTCTCAAAGTGATGGTGAAACACTTATGAAGACTGTATAAAAAATGATTTTAAAGTACCTAGTTTATTCTGACAAATTACATTGGCAGGTGTAGGCAAACACTAAGAAAATACTGTAAGAAACAAAACCATTCCCAAATGCATGCTGTCACCAGTTCAGACAGATAGAATTTCTAGCTAGGTGAATTAATGTACTGCAAGCAGAGAGAGAAAGGGCATCAAATGCTTGAGCGTCCAGAAAAAATATAAAATTACACATAAATCCTGCAAGCTATCCGGTAACTGCTCATCCAGTTACATGATTTTAATTAACAAAACTGGAAAGAAAACATGTAATATAAACTTAAAAACACAGCGCTTCGGTTTTCCGGACTACCAGTCCAAATGCAAAACAAATGGCTTGCATCTGGTGGCAGGGGAGGCAGAGTCGGCTTTGGGAGCTTCGCTTTTAACCGGCGGAGCGACATAGCAGCATCCGCTGCACTACCCACTTATGGAGGCTCCGACAGCTCCTGGCACGTCCGTGCCCGCCGTCCTTTGGCACCGCCTGGGCACAAACACTTCAAGCATTGCCCGCGTGCTCCGAGGAGGATGCCTCGGCTTTCACCTCCACGGCAGCACGTCGCTCCGTAGGGCAGCAATGTCACCCAGGGGAGGGAGGCCGGCGGCTCGCAGGCTTCGGTGACCTTGAGCCAACCTGAGCAGTTACCTTTTCTGGGCCTTTGGCATGCTCTCAAGTGATCTTTCAGCCAGAATCTCCACTGCCTAAAATAAATTCAGCAATATTCACTGCGGCATCCCTGCACTTCTCTTTTGGGATACCTGACTCTTATCTTCCAACCTGGGCAGATACAGGTTTTGGAAAGTTTACGGGGGTGCTTCCTGGGCAGCGAGCTCCTGATCTGGCCCGAGGCCAGGGTGACTCACTTGGCGTTGTTACGAGGAAAGGCAGAATTTTAGGGAGTTTTCTTGCCTGTCCCTATATGCTAAAGGTGTGCGTATCTGCCGTGTTGTTTAGGGGCGGCCTTGACAATGGTATTACAAGGCGTTTCCTCCCCACCTCCTGAAAGGAAGGAAGAAGAGAAGCTGGAGTGAGGGGGGATTTCTTCTCTAACCCTTTTGAAGCCTTCAGTGTGGGGCCTGTGACAGAAAGGGCTGGTGGCACGGGACTGAGCTGCGAGGCAGCACGGCCCCGGAGCAAGCAAACACAAATGCTAAGGAGACAAAAATGTCCCCAAACCCATGCACTGGCAGCCTCACCCTGCCTGGCCAATGCACACACATACACGTTGCATGCCCAGCCTTCATCCTGAAGGCCCAGCGTATCTTCATCGAGTCTCTCCTCTGTATAAACCCAGCCAGAAATAAGGAGAGTTGACAGGACTGATGGACACAACCCAGGATTCAGGAGCAGCCACCACTTACTGGCTCCTTACTGGTTTTAGAAGTACCTCACTTTCTGGAAGGTGTGAATTATCTACTATTCCTTAAAAAAAAGATGTCTGATCTTCCCTTCACATGCAATTAATAAAATTTGCTACCAGTTTATTTAAAATGCCCATCAAAGCAAAGTAGCATGTAATCACAAGGCTGTATTAATATAAAGCAATACACAACATGAGCTTGTAAGGTCTCCCTCAAGCTACCCAGGACTCTCTCAGTTACCTCAGGCTCGGGTTTGTGGGGTGCACAGGAGCCCCTTTGCCCCACCTGGCCCTGCACCTATTCTGTCAAACACAACGCAAACCGGGAACGATGGGGGTGTTCGCCTCACTGAGATCCACCAACACAGGAGATCGCACCGGGATCCTTCTGGTCCGGCAATTTCCCTGCCAGGTACCCGCTACTGGTCCCATGAATCAAGAAAGCGAAGCACCGGCTGGGTCCGGCATACGGCCGGTTGGCCTTACCCTGCCCAGCAGGCAACACCAACCCAGTGTTGCATCCTCGCACCAAAAAGCGGCTGCTGCCTGTCTCTGCCAGCCGGAGCAATCCCGCTCTGTTGTCTCTACACGGGAGGACGTGGAGAAGGGAGGGGGTGGAATAGGCTCAGCGTGAAGCACCAGAAATCCAGATTTGGGCCTCTAAATCTGTTCAGCCAACGCTAGTCAGCTCTGATTTGTATCAAAGGCCGATCTTATCACTTGCTGATTGATTGTTAAATGGGCCACAAACGGTTAATATTTTGTGCATGGTTGGTCACAGGCTGCCTGTAGCACCGCGCAATTTTCTCTTACTGTGTCAGCCAAAGACCTGAAGTTTTCTTATTTTTACTCCTGCACGTTTGCCTGTCAGGCTCGTTAAGTTCATGGAGAGAAGTGTGAAAACTTGCCCTCAGGCTCCCACATTTCCTTGGGAAGCACATCCCAGGGACCTGTGGAGCAGCTGAAGTGGATTTTGGGATGCCCTCTTGGGATGCCCTCCCGTGCTCGCAAAGACACCATCGGGCCGTGTCGCCCCGTAGCGAGTGCCGGCGGGGGGCACATCGGCGGCGTGGCGGGGGGAGCTGGCGGAGGAGCTGCGTGACCGGGCTGGGTTGTAGCAGCGAGCGGGCATCATCTGGAGCAGCGGGACCCTGGGATTGCCTGCTGACAGAGCTGAATAAATCACCGAGCAGAGGCACGCAGTGGCGGGTGTGGTGGACTCCTGGGAGCTTTTCCATCCAATTCCTCCAGAGGTCCTGTGGAGCCGTGTGGAGGGGGTACGGCGGGTATGGAGGCACACCCGCTGGCCTGCTGGAGCTCAGGGCACAGGCACCATCTCCAGCCGGAGCAGCGGACGCTGCCACGTGCCCTCTTCACCTGGCTTAAACTCGGGTTTCCCCTCAAGCTGAATTCATGCCACCCTGGAGCTCTCGGCAGCTCTGCAAACGTTGCTGCCTGAATTTCACCTCCCTACTGGGAGACTAAGTTCCCGTTCTCCCAGTAAGATACAGGTTTGAATCCAGGTCATACTTCTGCTGTTCTCCACCAGCATCACAGCTGTTTGCTCCAAACATGAAGATATTTTTGCAAGAGCAAAAGCATGAATTATTTCAAACTTGCCTCAGGATGAATTTTCAAGGGTACCGCGGAGACTGTTTCCACAACAAAACGGGAGCTCTTCTCCTGCTGAATTGTTCATGCCACTTTCACGAATGCTAGAAAAGAGGCTGGCTTTTCTAAAATGTCAGCAGATA